ATTTATAATTTATATGGTTTGTGCTAAAGTCTGGCAAGGACACGCACAAGAGGAATAGGAATATTACATAGATTACAAGTATGTACTTAGAAACAACTAACTCGTAGGAACAAACTTATTTGGCATTATTGCAATTAGAAAAGCATCGTGTTGATAAGAATTGAATAGATAAAGTATGCATATAATTCGCTGTATATTCATACAGTTTTTACTATTTTTCTTTATTTGGTCTATTGTTTTTTATAGAGCAGTATTGACGTTGTTAAAAACTACAATAGTTACTTAGTTACTTGGAATAACTTAGAGGTTTCCAGATGGTGAGGGACGGGTGACAACATATCTGGGTCAAACTTCTCACAAAAATTCTCGCAATAATGACTGCAATTTAGTCATTATATCATCAAAGTTTGATTTCATTCAGTAGGATTCTGTGTACCATTTTATTTTAGTTATATTTAAAATATACTTTTGTGTACTAAAAATTAGGAAAATCTTAATTTTATTAGAGTAAAATACTTCCTACGAAAATTGTAATTCGGCATGTTTTAATCAAAAGTGTAGGGAGCAAGAATTTTTTACATAAAAGGGGAGAAACGTCATTTTGAAAACAAATGGAGAAATAAAGTCGGAATGATCACACGATTCGGATCGGATCGATGAGATAAGACAGTGGTTTCAATCGGGGTGCCGCGGAACACGAGGATGCCATAACAACCTTTCAGGGGTGCCGCGGAATGCTGAGCAGGGCCATAACACTTCTTACGTTTATTATTAAAAATACGAAAAGCACAGTAACTCTGCATCGACGAAGAAGTGGGGTGCATCAAGAAAAAAAATTACCAAGTTGGGGATGCCTCTATTAGAAAAAGCTTGAAAAAACACTGAGAGGAGGCAACGCAACACATGAACGATTTGCCAAAGGGGGAACTTTCTATGGGAAACTAGCCTCCATTTAGACGTTGGTCAGATACGAACCCGAGACCAGTGTTCGGTGGTTTTATACATTCGACCATAAATGGGCAATTTCGTTTAAGAAAAAAACACAATCTGTTCCTGAAGTTAAATATTATTTTTAAAGGTTTTATTTATTGTTGTCAAACTAAATCTATTACAAATTAAATGTATTATTTTGAATAAAATCTATTTGTAAGCTAACCTATGCATATAAAATGTTCATGACGTTCATAGAAAACACGTGTAGTTTATCTAATGACTCATTATTTAATCACTTGGGCCTGTTGACTCATAAATGTTACTGGTTCATTTCTTCTAAGCAGTGTTTTCTTAATCATTCCACTAATTTTATGTTGATTGAAGGTTTGAACACAAATTAGAATTTAAAAAAAAACTAGTCTGCGAGACAAATTGTAAAATTTATACATGTAGGCTATATTATGATCAAATCTGTGCAGTGTCCATATCATATTAAACGGCTGATTGCAAAAAAGAAAAAAACAAAATACGAGGTCACGTATGAAAGAATGTTACTAATGAATTTCTTTAGAGAATTTTATATTATTATTAGGCCTAATAATTAATTGTGTAATATTTTAAAGAGCATAAAACCTATAAAAGTTATTACTGAGGGATTAAAACAGCTTATAAAAATGTAATTATAACAGTAAGCATTGTTAAATGATAGGAATTTTTCTATTTAATTAATAGATGCTCACCTTTTACATTCCGTTCGATCAGACAATCATCATCGGCAGAAAAACCATCAGGAAATTCCACTTTATCCAGGTCATAGTAAACAAGTTTCCCGTGTAAAATATTATCAATTTCTTCTTCTAAAGTGTATCCACTGGCGGGTGTCAAACGACTTTTTAGATTATTACAAACAGGATCTTTCAAAATGGACTTTGACTTTCTCGATTTCGGTGTGTTTCTGTTACGCTTTGATCTCGATAAGGTCTTCACGGTTTCCGAAAATCTCACCATCCTAGAAGATCGAGATAACTGTTTATCGTAGGTTGCCCTATTTAGATAATTTGTAGTAACATCATTAGACTGGGCAAGTTTTTCTTTAGCGTAAGAAAGCTGAGAAGAAAAATGATTATTTTCGTGTTCACACGAGGATCTTCGACCTTGGCGTTTTTCTTGCGCTTCCTTTGACTTCGAATTTGATATTTCGTTGGCTGTTTGATGACGTCCAATTACTTTCGTTCCCATAACGATTTTCGGTTTGTTGGATCGTGACGAGTAGGAGGGCGTATAATTATAGCAAATTTCGTTTAATTCGGGTGTCGGACAGTGGCTCTTGTATCCGCTATCCACCGACCCAGCGTATGCCACGTAATTGTTACATGTATTATCTGATTTCCAATCGATCAGATCATAGTAATCGTCCGACTCGCAGGTCAGAGTGTTGATGGTATCTAACAGAGGATTTGTTACTGTTAAAGGATGGCGATCGTCCTCCAAAAGTTCTCCCTTTCTTTCGTGGTTCTTGATGACGTCTTTTAAAATCGAATACATCTGACACATTTGCTGTTGAAAGCAATCACCCTGTTGTCTTAGTTTCGTCTGAAATTTAGGGGAAAAAAAAGGCATATATTAGGAAAATTTCGGCTTTCTTTGAATTGTATATTAAACAAATTTGCCATCATTTTTTATAATTGTTTATCTCGTTTGATGTAGCCGCTCTTAAGAGTGGATAACGTAAGCTTTTTAGTTGTAATGAGGTCAATGTAGTGATTTGAAAAGTGCTTGTTTATTATTATTATTATCATTGTGGGAAATGGATTTAAGTTTCGTGTAAAAAGTCACTTTTTTTGAAATTAAATATATCAGTTACTGTTAATTAAGGCATAAGCTAAAACCCGAAAATTTTAACTATAATTACACATTTACTCTACTTAATAACCTGGAATTTTGAACGAATCCAAATATACGATTATCCAAACAATTTATTTCTGTAAAGGAAATCTTTGTTAATTGTTAAAAGTGTGAGTAACGTGGGGCGAATGACACGAACAAGACAAGGTCGAATAGTAATTTAATATCCATTCGCACAAAACCAATTGCTGTCTGGCCCATAAGGCTCTTAACTAACAAACAGAAACATTGACTTCCAGAAATTTGATCCGGATGACACGAGAAGAGTGTTTTTTTTTTTCCTCTTCTCCCCTTCTCCGTTCCGGCAAAGTGTACTGTACGTGGGAATTTATAAACATCGCATTGAAAACATTTTAAGTAAGGGAGGCATTAAAAGGAAGTATCGGCTTTTACGTGAACTTAGGCATTACTTCGTTCCTGGTTATACACTTTCCCCATTTAAATATTTGTATAACGATGCGAGTTATTCACCGAATAACATATTTTGTTCTTCGATTAAGTCCTTTTATTCTAATCTTTCAAGAAATCTCAATATCTATTTACTCGAATATACTAGTAACTTTCAATTCGATTTTCTTAAATAATTTTTAAAATATTAAATAGTATTTTAATTATGTTTACTAATATTACTGTAAATTATTTATAAAATTAAAATTTAGAAAAATAAAAAAAAAAATAAATAAAAGAACTTTCTTCGTAGCATGTTACATTTTACACTTTCATCTCTCGAAATAGATACTTTGGAACAGCTGACTTCCATCGGATATCCCCATAAATAACTTGAAATTCCACTAAGTAGGAATTCGAAGTAAAATTTTTCTCAGAAAAATCGATTAATTCCTTTTTTTCTCCTCCTCCTCCTCCTTCTTCTTCAGGAGATTAATGAGAAATTACAGAAAAATACCCATAAATAGTTAAATATGAATTGACAAAAGTGCAAACAAAGAGAATAATTCCTATCCCCAGAAGGAATCTTTTCAGCTGTTTGGCAGATGTTACGAATTCTATGGGAAGTGGGGGAGTTGACAACTCAGCCGGAACGACTGCATCCCTCTGCTATTATCGCCAACTATCGTGGTTCTTATGATTCAAAAGACAGAGTGGGGATCTAGTCCACGTGTCTCGCACGAGAATGACCTTACCGACCTTAATTCCAGTTTAACAATATATAAAAAGTATTATTTAGATTTAAATATATTTAAATAAACGAAATATACTAAACTAAACTATAAACGATATCATTTTTAACACAATTTATTTATTTATTTTTTAAATAAATATATATACATATAATTATACGCGAATATAAGGAATGCATAGATAAACTTACCGTTTCTCTTTTTAATTCTGCCAGCAAATAATCCATTCGCGTGTTGTTCGCCATCAGTACTTTTCACTGGAGAGACTCGAGATGCAGCTAGTCAGCCATTTGACTAGGGGTGCAATGGTATAGGGTGCCTGGAGGGAAGCGCAGTCGTTCGCTTGTCGGCTGGATTGGTGAGAAGTATGTATCGTGTTTGAGTGATGCTCGACCAATGTACTCTACATTAGCTATACTTCTTCTATTCTTTCAAGCAACCATAAATTTCTACGTCTTATAATCTTTATCATTCTCTCTTTCCTGGTATATATCTTTCTTCGAAACGGAAAATTAAAAAAAAAATAAATAATATAAACATGATCATACATTTTTCAATATTAACACAACAATAAATTGGCTAAAATTAAAAAAAAAAAACTAACTATTTTCTGTAAATTAATAAACCCAATGAAAAATTATTATATATTATAGAAATTAATCAGCCCGTTTGAATAAATATTCTTCAGTAATTGCTAAATTTCTATTCTATATTGACCTAGAATGGGTTAATACATATTCGATCATCTCCCCTCCCCCCAATTTTGGTCATAAGAGAGAAAGAAAGGCTTTTCCGAATGCTTTTCCCCCCTTGTCTTGAAAAAAAAGAAAGAAAGAAAGGGGGAAAAAGTGCAGATCATGGAACTGGTTGAAGATAGTGTTGGCAGATTAATCAATCTTGATGGCATCTACTACTAGATATCTCGAGGGAATGAAAAGAGAGAGAGAGAGAGAAAAAAAAACTCTNTAATTAGCGTTGAAATCAAGAAAACGTTTACAATATTCTGAAAATGGTAATTATTAGCGATTATTTTTGCAACAAAGTGGAATTTCGAGATAAATTTAAAATGTGCGCAACGAAAGAAATGCACTTGTTATCTCCGCCTTTCAAAATGTCCCGAACTTGCAACAGAACGTTGAAGGCGGAGTAGAGCGAACTGTACACCTATTAACCAGAAAAAGAACAATTAATTTTTTTCTATTTTTTTCACGTTTTAAAATCTTTACAGCTGTAAATTAATTGCTACAGAACTCGAATTAATACTCTACGTATGTTTCTTATATTTGATAAACTTCCATATACCACCTTTACCGGACATCCCTTCGACACAACGAAATAACCACCGCAACTAAATCCCAGTTCGTTTTCTCGAAATTTTTTCATGAAATCCAACATCTGAATAAATAAAAATTTTAATAATTAAAAGAAATACGATTATACAAGTACAGTTTTATTTATAATTATTCAAAATACAATAAACTTACTTTTATTTTGTCTTCTACCGCCAAACGAGCGGAAGCGAAGATTCTTATTTCTTGAAAAGAATCATAAACCTAAACATATAAAATTAAAAAAATGTCATTGAAAATACAAAATTGATACAAATTCTTATTCTGCCCAACAGAACTTACGCATGCCGAAATACGGGAAACAGCAAAAGAAAACAACAATGCTAGAATAATGCAAACGACGGTGGCGAAACATAATAATAGCCGAAAAATTATATCCAGTTCAACGAAAAAAGAATGGTAGATAAGTAAGGCTAAGATATAAATTACTATGCCAAATAAAACGAAAAATAGCTCCTTCCATTTATTATTCATCTGATTTATTAGATCATAAATCTCTGCATGCTTCCAGATGATTTCGTCCACATCAGACTTTGCGCATCTATTTCTGGTTAATTGGAATTGTTTCGCTAACTCTTTGAATCTCTCCAGTATCAGAAGGCCTACCGTTAACGATGCCGGTATAATCCATAAATAAAATGCAATTACGTAATTACCAATTAGAGTAAACGAAAGAGAGCAAAAAAGTGCTCGAAAAGAACTCGAATCCTTCTCTAGTACCGGAAAGAAAACAAGCGAGGAAATCAAAGCGTAAGCAATAAAATTTAACAGAAAATAAACACCGAAAACTCCTAACATTACCAATTGATACCGAAACAATTTTTCCTTCTCGCCGGTGTAACTCGATATTTTCATGTCAAAGCTTATTTTTTTCCTACCCATATGTATGCAAAGAATGCAACCAATATTAATGAAATAAATGGCCATTTTCAGAAAAGGATGCATTTCTTCACCGTTATATCTATCAATAGGACTACAGAATACAACATTCTCTTTAGTTGCAAGACTCTGAAGGACAAATACAATTGTTTGAAAAACCAACAATATCAGAATGTATTTCCTGTAAAATTCTATTATTTTTGATTGTCTGGCGTTCAACTGGCGACAATCGCAGCGTTTGTAAAAAATATCGCCAAAAACTATAGAAATAGAGATTATGGGATAAAGCGTACAGTAAACACAATTCTCCGCCATATTGCATCTAACCAGAAGCAATGGAGCTTATTACTCTATAACATTTCTAATGTACTACTCTAATGCTGTTTTCTAGAAACAGTGACGATTGTCCCTTCTCCTTCCACGTGTATTCGCTTATATTAGAACGCAAATAAGCGAAATAGGTTTACTCATCTATGCGCTGTGCAGAATTTTATGATCGTAATGCAATCGATCAATATCAATTCAATTTGAAACGAGCTTATTTTTGCGAATGAATAATTCTTTATTTCTAGTTCTAATAATGGAATTCGATTCTATTTTCAATAATAACTAAGGTGTTATTACATGGACTACAGTAGTTTGAATCGATTGAATTAACCGTTTGGGCTCTGCCCTTATTGCTATTATTATTATTATTATCAACCCATCTCCATTATTTTATAAAATCTAATAAAATAATAAAATCAGTTTTTATTCTTTTCAAAGACAGTTTTTGTTTACTATGGCTAGTCAGTGGCCGAGTAGATAAAACTCTGGACACAAAGTCGAAGGTTCACGTGTCACCAATCGGTCGGCCCACGTAGAATTATCCGAGTTTTATTCACGTGTTAAACACCTACACATGGTCCAGTTTTCTCCATGAAAGTCACGGGAGGCTTTCCCCCTTTGGCAGATTGCCCCTGTTGCGGTACCTTAAATACAAGATACTCAAGACGTATGTCCATGGTCGTAGCCAGGAAGGGGCATGGGTGGGCACGGCCCCCCCAGTTAACCTGGTGCCCCTCCCCAGAAAATTACAGCCGAGAAAATGTTGAGCCGATTTGCAAAAAGAAACAAAAAGCTGAAGCTAATTTAATTGGGTGTAGTGTACCCACTGAAAGTCTAGATCAGGCATAGCCAACATACGGTTAATGAATTTATGCGGCCTGCGATTAATCTTTGAATAATGGACTTAACTTCAAACAATTGCTCAAATGGATCCGCGATAATTCCTTATATCCTCACAATGTGAACTGATAGGAAAGTTGAGAAATTCTGACCCCTAAAAAAAAGGTCAACGGCTTTCTGTGCCCAATGTGAAAAATGTATCTGTAATCTCCATGTACAGTTTAGTCTTTACGGGGTGACGCCACAATAAGATCTCGTATCACATGAAAATCTTGCTAGGGCCACCTCTGGTTCGGCCAGTGAAAAAGGTTTTCTTTCCAATTCGGTCCGGGGGAAAAAACTGTTGGCCACCCCTGGTCTAGATCTAGATTAAATACGGTTAACTATATTAAAGAATGGTAAAAATTAATTGATTGGTTAATTTTTGTTTAAGGCATTGCTGGAGTTTGATATTAATGTTACGAGAACGTATGATTAAAGGAAGTTTCATATTATATGTGTGCTAAGTTATTGTCGATTCCTATGGAAAATTCATTTGAATGAACAGTAATTTGAAATAATTCAATTTTGTGTCAGGCTGGACTCTATTAGGTCCCCCATAACAAAACTCTGGCTACGCCGATGCGTATGTCAATATTTATACAAGATCTTATATAACTTTTCAAAAGTGTAGTAAATAAATTATATAATTCATCAGAATTATATAAAGTAATACTCCGATATATTTTATTATCGTTATATAAATAGAAATTTTGCATACTGCATTTAAAATCATCAATAGCTCGTCGTTGTCTAATTTAAACTTTCATTACGTCTGACTCGCTCTAGATATGGCATATGCACCCCTCTATTTCTCCCTTTACTTACAATCTTCAAAATTTAATAGCAACAATGCACCACATGTAGAAATAATCCTGTCAAGTTTCAAAATACCAGCCAATTTCCTGTAGAAAATCCTTCGAGAAGGATTCAAAACTTGGCTTGGTTCTTGGCTGAATGGATAAAACCACTGAATACCAAGTTGTTGACCGCTGTTTTTTTAAACTGTTTCTTCCCTGTGGCCACTAAGAAGGGCTCTTTTATCAAGCCCATTATGGATTCGGCCAGGCCCACAATGGGGCGACCGGGTGGTGAGAGTCGGGGTTCGACGTATCCCGTTGGATTATTCCGAATAATTCCTAGAGAATTTCTACCCGTTCGGATTGGATCCCGGGTATTCCGGGTAGGTCGCTATTTTGAGCTCTCGGCCATCCGGCCGTCCAGCTGATCACGTTGAGTTTTCTTCAGATTGATAATGCCTAAATAAAGGCCAGTTTCCATTGAAAGTCCTCCCGAAAGTCATCCCCTCGGCAGGACGCCTATGCGTCGCGTTGTCTTTATATGTACAAAACAAATAATTCTGCTTTTCGAAGATATATCGACATAAATACTGGAATAATATATTCGTTAATAGATTAAAATCTTTTGCTCTCGTTAAAATTTCATGTACACGATGTTTTAGAAAATCACATTACCTTTTAACACGTTTAATAATTGAACACTATCTCAGACTAAGATGTTTTTATTGGGCAAAATTGAGAATGACCAATGAATATTGTGTATACGGTGCTGAATAAAGTGAATTTAGAAACGAGAGATACACTTTTTATAGTTTTTAAACTTTCCTATGCATTTATTCAGTTAAAAAATTATAATAATTGCGAGGCCCGGAAATGGTTCATAATTAAAAGAAAAGTATATTTTAATAAACTAAAACAACGAGAAAACAAATAATGTGAGTGTCGCTCTGGCGACACCTGACTTTGACATCGTCGTTCACAAAGAATAGAGGGAAAACAAATTTAAGGACAAAAGAAAATGAAAAAAGAATTGCTTAAACTTAAGACGCAAAAAGGAAAAAGGAAACGGGAATTTATAATATGAGCGTAGATGTCTTATTCATCGATAAATCGCGATCAGAGTCGAGAGGATGATTGTCGGATAAACCATCCCGGGCAGACCTTTCTCGCGACTTAAATTGGTGTCAATTTTCACTTCCAGACAGGTAAGAGACCAATCGGGGAGCGAGGAAGAGAAGGCCCGACTTATTAGAAAAAGTATATAAGTCCGAGTATCCGAGGGCAAGGGTTCGATCTGTCACCCGAAGGCCCTAGAACCATCCTGACGAAAGGAAATAAAATTACTCCACTCTAATTGGCGCGCTTACATAATTATGGCATGGCCGTGCGCAGAGGAGTGTGCTATCGTACCCGATCTCGGGTACGATTATAATTTTCGGAAGTTTTCCACAAATTATAATCGTAAAAATGGATGGTCGAATGGCCGAGCGGTCAAGGTGGTAGATTAGAAAGCCCTCTCTGTGATCACGGGGAAAAGAGTTTAAAAAATCGTAAAATCGAGTAAGATATGGAACATATTATTTTATGTGGTTTACTTGGTGTTTATACGCCGTTCGTGACCCCCCGCGAGACAGGAAGACACTTACTCTGAATACTTTATTCGGGATCCTACTTGAACCGGGCGATCTCCACTCTTATAAGGTAAGGTAGGGCAAGATGAGGACGTTAAGGTTTAAAAAGTCATAAGATGGCAACCACTTTGATGAGAAACATAATTTTTTTATTCTCGGCAATTACAACATTTGGTAATATATAATACAAAATTTAATTCTTGAAAAAACGTTTTTAAAAACAAGAAAATTTAATATTTTAAAATTATACGTAAATGCGCCATCTTGTCCCTCCCGTGGGGTAAGACGGGAATATTATTTTTATATACAAGAAAAACAAATTAAAATGATTAAACTGTCGTTTTCTTCAATATTGGCACAAGAACAACGCGCCCATTTATCATAGCGGCTACATTTATTATTATTTTCCGAATAAATAAATATAAAAGTTTGAACTTACTCGTACAGTACAGTATTTACTTTACCAGACGATACCGTCACTTCGCGCACGCTCAGTTCTCTATTTTGTAAGCAGACGATAGTTTGTTTTCGTGGAAAAAAATTTTTATTTCGATTGTTATCTCACATTTTATTTCTTGTTACGATAGTATTTAAAATTAAAAAATGTTTTCGCAAATAAAATAAAACGTAAAATCTAAATAATAAAATAATACAGTATATACTATACTGTACTGTATAAATTTATTAGATGATTTAAAAGTGAAATATTTCATTTTCTATAAAAAGATCATTTTTAAACTTATTATTTTATATATCGAAAAAATTATATAGAATTATCAATGACAACGAATTTAAAACTAGTTCGCTGCACTATATTGCGGTGCCTCTAGCGGCAGAATTAATGGTCAACCTTGGGCAAGATGGGGTACCCCGTCTTTCCCCAACGTGCACTTTTCATACTGACTACAAACACGGGTCGACTTTATTTCGAAACTAAACAATTTCAGTCTTAAAGGTTACTTCGAATACCATAATATCTTGGTCTAAAAGGTAATGTAAAAGTTCGCAACTGTGAAATCCGCGATTTTTACGCCGATGTCGGAAAAATCTTTGTAAATAACTCCGATGGAAAAACCCACTCTTGGTGAGAAGTATATCGGAGGTCACCGATTGTTTTCACATTATGGTGGGAAAGTTGACAGTTAGTTGATCGGAATGCACCGTAAGTGTCAACTGAAGTCGATCACGTGACTCATTTCCCACGAATAACGTATAAAAGCTCGAGTCCCCGAAAGCTCCGGGCGATCCCTCGGAAGTTATACTTGGTAGATGTGCCATATTTGTCTCCATACTCCGGACCGAAAGGACATACGACCAACCACAGCCATTTGAACTTCCATCGCCATTATCGAACATATTCAACGAACGCATATTAGACATATCCGCATAGAGGTATTGTACTTTTTAGAGCTTTGTGAACTCTCTCTCAGACTAGCAGGTAAAGCTATTAGAGCGTCCCTTTTGTACAGTGAATTTATTTAATCGCATTTAACCTATGTATCCTAGCTTAGTTATATAAATAAATGCTTGTTTTGTTTTTAAACCTGTCTCCTGTCTCTGAAGGACACCTGCCGACTTACCGACGCACTCCCCACTCAAATTTTTGCCCTCCTAGCCATCCGACAAGCCGAGAACGGGTTTTACCAACCTGTTGCAGAGTAAGTGGTCATTTGGGATGAGCTCAGTGGCCCACTGCTAATCTCACACAACGATGCTTACTTTGTAGAAACTTTGTAGCGAGCGTAAAATTAGATGAAGTATTGCCGAAACGTGGAAAACTGTCTTACTTCCAAACAAAGCGATTCGGACGTTCTCTCGTCCCGCGATCCCTTTTGAGGTTGACATTTAGTTCCCCAAATGACAGCTAGACGAAAGCGCGTTAACCACAAATAAACAGACGTCCCCGCCTTACCCCGTGGCCCCATCTTGCACCACCTTCCCCTACATTATTCAGGGTCG